CCCTCCCAGCAGCGCGCAGAGTGTGCCTCGGAGGCAGCGTGCTCCCAAGTGCGGGAGGGGTTCCCACACACGGCTGGGGCAGGTCTCCCGCTGGCCGCCCGCCTCCCTGCCGTAACCCTGCTCTCGTGTCTCTCTTGTCTCTCTCCCTGCTGCCTGCCGGACCCTGGGGGCGCTGTGCTGTCGGTGCAGAGTACACGGTAAGAGCAGGGACCGGCCAGTATCCCGTTGCCAGCACCCCCGCGGCTGGGCAGCACAGCCCTGCCACCCTGCTAGCCGCGGGCGTGCGAGTGAATTCGGAGCAGCCCCTTCCTGACTGGCAGCTCAGAGGGGAGAGCCCCAGCCCCTCTCGCACTGCTGGACCCAGCCCTGACTGCTCCCTCCCCGCCCCAGTCCCTGCTCTGAGGGGAAAGGATTATCCCTGGGTCCCTGGCTCCGGCCTGAGGGGACAGGCTTAACCCCTTCCCTGCCAGACTCTGGGTGGCCGCACACTGTCTCAAGGTGCGTCTTGCCGCTCCCTGGCTGCTCCTCCCGTGGCGCCCCACTCCCCCACATGCCCGCCCCCCTCGCTCCAGGCCTCATTAATCACAGGGCTCAGCACAGTCCTCAGGAGGATCGAGCAGCGGCTCCGAGGCTACACAGCCCTCTGCTCACTACACCAGCTCCCTCCCAGGCAGACGAAAGCAGGCCAGTGAGCTGGGCCGGGTGGGGAGCACTGGCACGAGACGGGGGGGTTCAGTGCCCTGGGCTGGCGAGCCAGCACAGCCTGAATCGCCCTGACAAGCAACCTGAGGGGAGCCTCTGATGACCAGTGGGGTCTGACGTGGGCTCACAGGGAGGAGGACTCCACACAGCTCCCTGCTGGCTGGTCCCGGCCCCGGCCGCTCCCTCTCTCTGCAGTGCTCCTTCCTGCCAAAGTTCTCCATTTACATCGAGACCAAGTACGAGGATAACCGCGGCGACAGCGAGAACGTAAGTGGGTCCCACCCAACCCCGCTCTCTGCCGCTCCGCTGCTTGTCGAACTCCTTGGGAACCAGCCCAGACCCGTCAGGGAGCTGAAGGGGTGAGGCCCTGAGACATGGGAGGTTCGACGCAGAGGAGAGGACGGGTGGGTGGTGGATCACTTTTAGACCCTGCACCCCAGCCCTGAGCTCCCTCCTGCACCCTAATGTCCACCCAGACCCCACCCCCACCCCCACCCCGCGCCCCCCTGCTGCCTATGAATTGAATCCTTGATCCCTGGTTCCTGTGTGATGTGAAGGAGTAAGTAACACTCCACACGACTCGATTTTTCCCAGGTTTTTAATCTCTCCTCATACGGAAGCTGTTCCCATCCCTGATCATGTTTGTTGCCCTTCTCTGCACCTTTTCCAATTCCAATAGAGCTTTTTTGAGATGCGGTGACCAGCGCTGGCGGCAGTATTCAGGGTGGGGGCGTGGACTGGATTGATGCCGTGGTGGGCCAGGCGTTGATACAGGAGCATTCTGATGTTGCTGTCTTTCTCTCCGCCCGCCCCTTTCCTTGTGGTTGCTAACACCCCAGTAGGGTTTTTGACTATCATGGCACATTGAGTAGATGTTTTCAGAGAACTATCCCCAGTGACTCCCAACTTCTCGTTTGATTTAGACCCCGACATTATTTCTGTGGAGCGGGGATTGTGTTTTCCAATGTCAATGCTCTGCATTTGGTGAGATCCCTTAGTAACTCTTCGCAGTCTGCTTTGGACTTACTCTCTTGAGTAGTTTTGTATCATCGGCAGATTTTGCCAGCTCACTGTTTACCCTTTTCCCAAACCATTTATGAATATGCTGATCGCCGGGAAGACCTGCTATTTACCTCTCTCCTTTCAGTAAACTGGCCATTTATTCCGACGCTCTGTTTCTTATCTGTTATCCAATTACTGATCCAGGAGAGGACCTGCCCTCTTATCTTATGGCTGCTTGCTTTGCTTAAGGGTCCTTTGGTGAGTGTCCTTGTCACGGGCTGTCTGAAAATCCCAAGTACAACTAATCCGCAGGATCCTCCTTGTCCACAGGCTTGTTGACTTCCTCAGAGAACTGTAGGAGACTGGTGAGGCATGATTTCCCTTTCCACAAGCCATGCTGGCTTTTCCCCAACAAGTCCTGCTCCTCTACGTGTCCGATCATTCTGTTCTTTATGATAGTTTCAACCACTTTGTCTGAAGTTAGACTTAGCGGCCTGTAATTGCCAGGATCGCCTCTGGGGCCTTTTCTGCAAATTGGTGTCTCGTTAGCTGACCCCCACTCATCTTCCAGGAGCTTCCCAGAGCTCTCTCTGCTGGGAATGGCTAGTTCCAGGGCCTGTTTTCCTGACGAGGCCGGTTGGCGCTAGGTGGGGGTGGCAGGTGCTCGGGGCCAGGCTGTGCTTTTCACCCTGTCCTTTCCACCCCCAGATCTTCCACAGCAACAAGATCCTGGGCAATCATGAGGTCACCTTCCTGGACATCGCCTGTGACGAGATTCCGGAGCGCTATTACCGGAGCACAGAGGTAATGCCACCTGCAAGGCCTCACGCCAACCCACACCCACCTGCCCAACCAGACAGCTAAGGGCCTGTTTTCCCACCAACCTGCTCCTGCACTTCCTGCTGCCAGGCCCGTGTCTAGCGCCCTTGGCCTTCCCGCCCGGCCCGCCTAGCCATGTTCCTTCCCATTCATATATTCAAATCCACCCAGCCTCAGCTGGGCCAGATGTTCCTGACCTGTTAGCTGCTGTTAGCCAGGAGCTGTTCTAAGTGGGGAGGCGACCAGCTCTGGGGTGGAACGAAAGAGGACATTGAAACAACCATGGGGTTGGGCTAGTTCCTTTCTCCGATGGTTGGCAGCCAGGCTTGGTGTGCTGAGCTACCCCTGCTGTCCCTCTCCACGGCAGGACCCACGGTACTTCTGCTCGGTGAAGACAGGCCGGGGGCCTCTGGAAGAAGGCTGGCAGGAGCACACCAAGCCCATCATGTGCTCCTACAAACTGGTCACGGTCAAGTTCGAGGTGTGGGGGCTGCAGACGCGAGTGGAGCAGTTTGTCCACAAGGTGAGGGCTTGGGGGGCTAGCATTGTGGGCGGGGGGAGTCTGCCCCTCCGGTGAAACAAGACCCACACAGTTCATTGGTGGGTGGCAGGAGAAATTCCTCAGAGCACCACAGCTCCAGGCCTAGGTGGGCACATGTCCAACCTTTGAGAAGACTTGGGAACCCTGCAGTCATTAGCAGCTGAGCTGGGATTATAACTAGACCCCGCAAGCTGTGGCTGCTGAGATGAAGCGCCGCTCTGCTGTGTTGTAATGGACTGGGTAAAGAATGAGCATGCCTGCGTGTGCGTACACAAGCATGCATACGCTGCCCTCTACTAAATGCAACTGGAACGTCTCAATCGCGTGTCATAGGCCCCATACTGCTAACTCTTAAATGGGGATTCTCCTTGAGCTCAAGTGACTTGTACTTTTGGTGCAGGAGGGTGGGAGTCTTGCCTTCATTGTTGCAATGACGGTCCTTGTGCCCTGGAGCCGCCCAGCGCAATGACAGGTGTGAAGGCCCACACAGCCACAGATTGTATCTGGGTGCCGGGTGTTGCCCCAGCCCTGTGCACTGAGAGAAGGCCCAGGCGATGGCTGCTGAATGCAGGCGCCACACGACACCCTGTTTCTCTCTGGAGGGGCCACCGGCGCCCTGCGCTGAGGAGCTAATTCAGAGCCCTGTGGCAGGGCGGGGGGGACTGAGGGCTGTGGGGTGGCGGGTCCCCGGCAGTGCCAGCCAGGGCATAATTGTGCTGTGGTTGCAGGTGATCCGGGACATCCTGTTGATAGGCCACCGGCAGGCCTTCGCCTGGCTGGACGAGTGGTGCGGTGAGTGAGCCTGCTGTGGCGGTAGCGGGAACCCACTGTGCGGCAGGGCTGCCCTGCTCCCTGGGGACCCCTCCCTGCCGCCCGCCGGCCCTGCCTGTGCTGGGCTCCAGGGCCAAGGGCTCCCCGCGGCCTCCT